CCCCCCCCCCCACTGTTTTTAGTTTCGTTTTTGACGTGCCGCATGTTTCTTTCAATTTTGCAGCTTAATAATAAAAAGTAATAGTTTAGTTTTTCCTGTGACTTATTTGCTGTATGATAAATGGTAGGAGCATAATATATGCTCTTAATGTTTTGTTGGTCCTTTTTTGTAAATAATGACCTTTTTTGTGGTTTTATTTATTTTTGTATCTTTAGATCCTATGATGTCATCAAGTACTTGAGTTCTACTCGAATTTTATTTTGTTAATGTCGAGTTTAAAAATAATGTAGTCGTTCAACCCCTACTGCGTAACAATGAAAGGAGATCCCATATTTTCTAAAAATAGAGCCAAGAGGGAGTAGGTACAGCGTGAAGAGGAGGGGGCCTAAGACTGAGCCCTGTGGAACCCCACACAAGAAAGTAGCAGAGGAAGACACGTGGTCACAAAGGTGGACACGAAAAATACGCTCCACTAAGTAGAACCTAAACCAGTCCAGTGCTGCACCGCTGACACCCCCCTCCCCCCACCCCTGCTTCAATCAACAAAGTAAGATGTTCTGGTCCACGGTGTCAAAAGCAGCTGATAAGTCTAAAGCAGGAGGACAACACAGTCACCAGAGTCCGTTGGTAAAAATATGTTGTTGAAAGCCTTTGAAAGGGCAGCTTCTGTGTAGAGCTTTAAAACCAGACTGTAAAACCTCGAGAATGTTCTGTTCTTTCAAATATGCTGATGGTCGTACACCACCTTCTCCAGAGTTTTGAAAGAAATGGCCGTTTGGAGATTGTCCTGTAGTTAAAGAACAGAGGGTCCAGAGTGGGTTTCTGAATGAGAGGCTGGACCGCTGCATGTTTAAAATGTCCAGGGACCACACCGGAGGACAGGCTGCTGCTCAGAAGAGCAAGGACCGAAGGACCCACAGTGAAGAAGACCTCTCTGAATAAACGAGGAGGAAGAGCATCACTTGGTGAACCTGCTGGCTTCAAGTGACTGAGCACCTCCTGCAGAGACGACAGAGCCACAGGTTCAACGCTTCCACAACAGCCGAGCAGGGCACAGAGACCGAGGGGCCATGAGCAGAAGGTCACATCTGGGCTCTGCTGGAAGAGGCTTTCTCCACAAAGACATTTAGAAAGTTCTCACATGCAGCAGGTGAGGATTCAGTGCAGTTAGTTGTGGAGCATCAAGAGCAGAACCGGTCACTTTAAATAGAACATGAGGACTGTGACTGTTTGATACAATCACTTTAGACGGATGTTTTCTTTTGGCACCTTCCACAGTTTTTTGATGCCAGCAGGCCTTTAATATTTGAGACGACACCTGTAGCTTGTCCGCTTTCCACCCGCGCTCTGCGACACTCTCTCCTGGCCGCCCTGGTGTCGTCATCCAACCACGGTTCACACTTGATTTTAGGAGATGTGGTTTTAAATGGAGACAAGAATCCAGAACGGTTGCAGAGGTGGAGTGAAACCATGAGCTGAGGGCCTCGTGTTGCTGCTCTCTGGGACGGCTCAGTTCACATTACAAGCAGATGAAAAGTGAGCACAGTGGAAGAGTTCAGAACTCGACGGGTCGAGCTGCAGCGCCGGGTTTAGCTTCAGAGCAGGACAGGTTGGTTTCAAATAAAACAGCCATGTGGTCTGAAGCCAGAGGGAAGCAGCTGCCATGCTAAGCTAACGCTAGCAAGAGCTAACAGATCCCTATGCACCAATAAAAAGTGTTGAGATAGAAATGTTCCAACACTGTCCAGCAGTAGAAAACAGCTGCACTGAGGGTGTTCGTCAGAGATGTGTTTGTCCTACACCGCACACGTGATCCATGAGGTGAGATCAAACTGTGCACAGGGTCCCAGTTACATCCAACAAAAACACAAGTTGTAAAGAAAAACATTAGTAAGATCCAAGTCATGAACCAAGAACACACTACATTCACTAAACTAAGAGAACACTGATGGTTCAAAATAATTTACTAAAATAACAACAGCACGAACTAGAATGAAAAACTGCAAAGAACAGATGTAACCCAGAGTGAAACTGAGGTCACACGCACCTCATGGTTTGGTTGTTTTTAGTTTAACGGAGTGTGTGAGACGATCAAGGTGTGTATTGAAAGGAAATGAGATAATTGGGTGTGTTAAAGGGCACGTTGGACTTGAAGTTCATTAATTAAAAAAGTAGTAAACATTTAATCTTTAATGCTCCGTATAAGAATGTAGGAGGCCCTTACCTAGAACAGAGGGTGAAGGTGAGCTACATGGATGAACCCAGACAACACAACGCTCCTCAAGCAAACAAATTACTCCAGCTACCAGCAGAGAAAACAGGAAGTGACACAATACGTCTTACCGTGAACTTGCTCCCTCTACGAACCGTTACGGACCCAAAAAGTTAAGTCGGGTCATCTGGACAGATTCTTGTTGGTTGAAACGTTTCGTTTTTCATCCAAAATCACATTTTGACAGCGTCAGAGCATCCTGAATCCCATCCCAGCATTGCTGGTCAGGTTTTGTAACCCAGGTGTTTGTTTCTGCGTTACAGCATCATATCTGTTACCATGGTAACCACAGAGGTCTCAGCTTCCCCCCACAAGAAGAAGAAGAGGAAGCTGGAATATGTGGACAGCCTTCCTGCTTCGGTTGATGTCGATGCGCCTGAGAAGAAAAAGAAGAGAGTGGAGGAAGAGCAGTTCAACCTTCATCCTGCCAATGGGCTGACACAAAGTCCAGAAGAGGAGGAGAAGAAGAAGAAGAGGAGGAGGAGGAGGAGGGAGGAGGAGGAGTGGTTTGAATGCCTGGAGGACTCTGATGTCACCATCATTACTTCTGAGAGGAAGAAGAAGAAGAAAAAGTTTGAAAATCTGAAGGACCCTCCAGCTTCTGTTGACATTAATACACCAGAGGAGAAGAAGAAGAAGAAGAGGAGAGCTGAGGAAAAGGAGTACAACGTTCATCCCATTGATGGGCTGAAGCAAAGACCAGAGAAGAAGAAGATGGAGGAGTGTGTGATGCAAGTGAAGTCACAGACAGACAAGAAGAAGAAGCAACAGATGATTGTCACCATGGCAGCGTTGAGTCCAAACCACGAGGAAACACCGGTTTCTACAGCCTTTGGGACAAAAGGGAAGAAAAAGAAAAAAGTTGGAGACAAAAGGGAGAAGAAGAAGAAGAAGAAGAAGAAAAAGGAGATGTCTGAAAGTCTGGAGGACCTTCCTGCTTCTGTTGACATCGATGCACCTGAGGAGGAGAAGAAGAAAAAAGATGGGTGCAAAAAGGAGAAGAAGCTGAAGAATAATAAACTGGAGGAGAAGACATCAACGGGTGAAGATGTCATAACGAGCACAGAAGAAACGTGAGTAGTGATTGGCTGGTGTCAGTGGGCGGGTCCAGTCGTATTCAGTGATGACCGTTCTACCTGCAGATCGATCAAGATTAAAGTGGTGATGTCATCATGAGACTGCCAGGAAAAACGGAGTGAATCCGTAAAAGTGAAGAGACGAGTACAATTCAAAGGCGTCGTGTTTTTCAGGATGGACCGAGGCGCCCTGGACGAGCTGGAGGAGTTTATTCCAGACGTGAAAACAAGAGCGCCCCACGAAGTCTGGAAATTTCTTCGCTACGACCTGCACCGCTTCAAGAAGTTCAAAGAGCAAGGTACTGGTACTGAATACTTCAGACAGCCAGGTACTGGTACTGAATACTTCAGACAGCCAGGTACTGGTACTGAATACTTCAAACAGCCAGGTACTGGTACTAAATACTTCATACAGCCAGGTACTGGTACTGAATACTTCAGACAGCCAGGTACTGGTCCTGAATACTTCAGACAGCCAGGTACTGGTACTGAATACTTCAGACAG